AAAAAAAAAAAAAAAAAAGAAAAAGAAAAATGTCCTGATAAGTTTGATCAAGTGATACAAAAAATACTGGTAAAACAAAAGACTAAGGAAAATAATACGGTACTGAAACTTGTAGTGAATAGAAGATTTTATACTAGATAGTTCAGCTTATGAATAATAATCACAAAGTCATAATATAAATGAATATTTATTTAACTAAAAAATTATAAAAGTTTAACTTATATTGGGAGAATTTAGGGAGAGGGGAAGTAAGAAGTATAAGAGTACTAAATCCTTATCTCCTATAATACACAGTCAATAGACAATATCTAAAATTGATAACATCCATTTAGAAAAATGGTGATAGGCCAGGCACGGTAGTTCACACTTGTAATCCTAGAACTCTGGGAGGCAGAGGCAGGAGGATTGCTTGAGCTTAGGAGTTCAAGACCAACGTGAGTAACAGCAAGACCCTGTTTCTTCAAAAATAGAAACATTAGCTAGGGATGGTGGTGTGCACTGTAATCCCAGCTACTTGGGGGGCTAAGGCAGGAAGATCGATCGCTTATGCCCAGGAATTTGAGATTTCAGTGAGCTATGTAACGCCACTGCACTTCCCTGGAGCAATAGTGAGACTGTGTCTCAAAAATCAGCAACAACAATAACAACAACAAAAAACCATAGACATAAACAGCAGAAGAAACAATTAAAAAGGTTGAAGGTAGCTGTTTCTGGGGAGCGAGACAGAGTGAAAATTTGGGAGGAGGGACTGCTTTTTAAACATTATAAACCTTATGATAGTGTACATATACAAAATTATAAACCTTATGGTGGTATATACGTGTAAATATTGTGATGAAAAAATATTTTACAAATTATCTTAAATTAGGCCATAATGAATCTCTATAAAGCTGGCCATATTTTCTGATCAGAATGAAATCAGAGGGAAAAAATTATATGTTTAAACCCACTAATCATTGTTTAAACAAACCACATCTCAACCCATAGGAAATTATGACATAATTCCATAATTATGACATAATTCCATAATTCCAATATAACAAGCCAAGAAAGAAAAGCTCAATTTAGAAAAGAATACAAAAGAAAAACACTACTTCTCAAAACCTAGCTAAGACAATTCTTAGTAGTAAACTCATAGTTTAAATCTATCTTTTTTTTTTTTAGAAAAGGCATTTAACTTAAGATTTTTGGAAAATGAACCTCCTCCCCTCCAAAAAAAATCCATGGGTGAAAACAATATAAAAGCTAAAAATAGGCTGGATGCCTGTAGCACAGAGGCCACATATACCAGGCCTGGCGGTTTTGAACCCAGGCCGGGCCTGCCAAACAGCAATGACAACTGTAACAAGAAAATAGCCAGGCATTTTGGCTGGCAGCTGTAGTCCTAGGTACTTGGGAGGCTGATGCAAGAGAATTGCTTAAGCCCAAGAGTTTGAGGTTGCTGTGAGGTGTGACACCACAGCACTCTACCAAGGGTGATATAATGAGACCCTGGCTCAAAAAAAAGCTAAAAATATATTCATTTAGTAATTTATTTTTTCCTAATTTACATGCAGTCTGGATTTCTAGTAATTGTTTTTGGGGCGTCTGGTGGGTTATGTCTTTTTAGGCCTTAAGCACAGACAGTTTGAGAATATCAACTCGCCTAAACTTGTTGGACCAAGAGTTGTCTGAAAAGAGCATGCAGCTCCAGGGAAGCACAGCTGAGGAGCAAATAAAGATTTCAGAACAAGTTCAAACCCTCCAGAAAGAAAAGGATCAGCTCCAGAGACGAAGAAACAGTGCAGATGAAAAACTTAAAAATGGTAGAGTGTTATCACCCGAAGTAAGTCAGTATTCTTTGGAACTAGAAGTTCTGTATGATGGATCACTTGAGTGATTTCCTCATCCTCTTTCACATAATCATAAAAATGATAAATCTGATAAACTTGGTTTCCTTGAGACTTTGTAAGAGATAGTGAACTCACTTGGCACCTGTTTGGCACCATAAACCATGTGTGATTAGAGACTGAGATGTCCTCACATAGTAGTCTATGGACACTATGGCCACTTCCTGGCACTACCAGGCATTAGAAAACTAATACATTCTTTGAGTATGGCCACCTTCTCAGCTGGAGTTTCTTACTTGAAATCATAGCATACAGAAGATGATTTCAGGGAGTCTTTTCTCAGTTCTTCTAAGGAGGGCACCTAACTTTTCTCTATACATACTTCTTAAGTAACGCTAGGTAACTCATTACATATAATAGACACCTAGGCTGTTAAGGGTTAATCCTTCCCATGGAAGCTTAGTTGAGAAAGGCTCAATGTTTGGGAGTATATTCCATACTTTGTCCAGCCAAACAGATGCACAAAATCCAAATCCCAGTAAAATACGTTTAGTTATGATTTTCATTTAGGAGAGGATAGGGCTCCTCTCACTTGTTTTTTTAAACTATGTAAAAGATGACTCATTTATTGGCTGGCATATTGCCTGAGACTTTGCCTTTTTCCAAAATTTTAATTCAGCTGGTAGTGGTACCTATACCTTACTTTGTCAGACAAAGATGAACTTTGGATCCTGAAATTTCTCTGCAAATATTTATTGTTCATGTCCTGTCATTATCAAAATGGGAAAATTGCTAAGAGAAGGTGAGTACCTGGGAATCACATACTTTCATGCATCTTGTATTTTAGATTGGAGCAAGTGAGAGGAAATTAAGGGGACTTTTTAAGAAATACGAGGAAGGATAGCATGAAATTAGATTTTTACTCCTTTGAATTGATAAAAGAAATAGAAGATTAACTTGATTTGGGGCTAAGTGTCAGCCAAAGGAATATTTTAAGCCCCTACTGGCCTTTTTTATAACTTAAGTCGGGTGGCTGCGTCGAGGATTGCAGAATGGGGCTGTTATCCCAAGGTATTGGATTGGAGCCCCAGGTTTGTAAATTTGAAGGTATGAGAGCCTAGGATTACAGCTAAAGTTAAGTATTTAAGGAATTTTGCCTGCCCAGTAGGCCCTACAGAAGAAATAAAAAAAGTAGAAAGTGTTATGCTTCTCTTGAGAAATTCATACTCTTTATCTGGGAAGAGAGAGAGAAATACAGTGTAAGAAAACTCTAAACCCTGAGCAACATAAAAAAGCAAGTTACAAATAACATACGTGTTATACTTATACTTCTTAAATTATTTATGCAAAGCAATGAATGCAGTGATTGATTGGGAGAAGATTCACCAAGGCTGCCTGAGTGGATTGGAATCTTGACCTGGATCATGAAAAACATGTTACATACTAGCAGATATACAGAAGAAGGCCATTTGGAGAGAAATCCTTAAATAAGGCACAGAGATGGGAATGAACAGATTACGTGTGCAGAAGGGTAGAGTTCTGTTACATTTAGGTTTCTATTTCATATGGAATTCTGTATCTAAAGATACTATTTTACAGACTTGTGAAAATATAGTACTATTCATAATACCTATTTAGCAACCACTCTTGATTGGTTTGAGAGATTACCAACCCTTCTACAATTGGAGGGTTCCATTGAGTCATGTGAGCTTCCATGCACCCTCTTTTTACATTACTGGTTCATTTTTAGGACAGCTCTGAAGCAGACTCTGCTCTCACCACTATTTTAAAGCCAAGATGAATGTTCCCAAATAAATCTGTCAATAGCAGATGATCAAGAACATGAGATTCTAATGTGACATAAGATAGCAATGAAATGTAGGTGGAATGGTTTGCTGTCTTGATGTCTATAAACTTTCTTAGGTTTATTCTCTCTTTCCATAGTAAATTAAAATAATTTTCTTGATTTGGGTACTTTATAGGAAGTGATAGAAGGATTTTCAATCACTACAGTAATAGAGTATTACTCAACAAATTACTATAGATAAATCACTTCATTTTTTTGTAGAATGAGAAACCAAAAAGAAAAAAAAAGAATACTTGAACTTTGTGCTTGCTTCAGCAGCACATATACTAAAATTGGAATGATACAGAGAAGATTAGCATGGCCCCTGCACAAGGATGGCATGCAAATTCATGAAGCGTTCCATATTTAAAAAAAAAATACTTGAACTTTGGCTTTCTAGTAATAAAGAGTATTTGCTTAGTAAGTGGGGTATAGGAAGAACTATTATGTTTAATACTTTATTTTATTATTTTTTTTTTTGGCCGGGGCTGGGTTTGAACCTGCCACCTCTGGCATATGGGGCCAGCGCCCTACCCTTTTGAGCCACAGGCACCACCCTATTTTATTTTATTTTATTTTTTTTGAGACAGAACCTCAAGCTGTCCCACTGAGTAGGGTGCCGTGGCATCACAGCTCACAGCAGCCTCCAACTCCTGGGCTCAAGCGAGTCTCCTGCCTCTGCCTCCCAAGTAGCTGGGACCACAGGTGCCCGCCACAACACCCGGCTATTTTTTGGTTGCAGCCATTATTGTTGTTTGGCGGGTCCAGGCTGGATTCAAACCCACCACCTTAGGTGTATGTGGCTGGCGCCTTAGCCGCTTGAGCCACAGGCGCCGAGCCTGACTAAATATTTCATATAATTTATAGAGAAATATACATACTCATATATGAAGTGCTTGCTCAAGTTGTTGTTTTTTACTGATAGGAATTTGTGATCAGAAATGTGTGGGCTTTAGGTCCATCAGTGCCTTAGGTCCTTGCTACAGTGTGGTCTCTGGACCAACAGCAACAGCATCACCTGGAAGCTTGGTAGAAAGGCAGATCCTCAGGGCCCCTCCAGACCTGCCAAATCAGAATCTGCCAAATGAGAATTTCGACAAGCTCCTAGGTTCACACTGAAGTCTGAAAAGTGGCACTCTGTCAAAAAGCATAATCAACTCTTTTTTTTAATGTTTATAGAAGCTTTATTCATAATAACCCCAAACTGAAAACAGTCCAAGTGTTCTTTAATAAGACAACACACTACTGTCATATGTTCTTACAATGAAACATTTCCAAACAGCAAACAGGACTAAATTACTGATACAAGCAACAACATGGATGCATCTCAAAAATGTTATGCCAGAGTGAAAGAAGCTTTACACAAAAGAATATATATAGCATTATTCTATTTCTGTGAAGCCCCAAAGTAGGTAAAACATGCTAAGAGTTTGACTACTTTATTTATTTATTTTTTATTAAATCATAGCTGTGTTATGGCAAATTTTCATCCCTGAAACATCTCCCATTCTCACTTGTCAAACTATACCTACTGTTAGGTTAGAGGAAACCACAAATGTTTACAGGTAGTCCTTGAGTTACAAACAAGATAGGTTCTGTAGATTCGTTCTTAATTAGAATTTGTATGTAAGTTGGAACGGATACACTTACCTATTATCTGTGATAGTCTCCATAAGTGCAAGTTGTATGTCAGGATAGGTTCTGCAGGTTTGTGCTTAAGTTGAATTTGTATATAAATTGGAACAGGTACATTTACTTGTTACCTGTTCGTAACAATCTCTGTTCCTAAGTATGAGTTGTATATCAGTTGGGTATTTGTAACTCGAGGACTGTCTGTATGTGCTACAGCCTCACTGGAATAAACTATCTTCAGTGTTCTACACTCACACTACCTTATATCATGTTGGTACTTCCTTAATCTAGATCCAACACTATAGAAACTGAATTTATGCTAAATTGTTCTCAGCCACATGTAAAGGCAAACTTTTCACATTTGTTTTTGGTAAAATAGTATAATCACACTATGAGTTCAAAAGTTAAATAGTTAAGTCCTCAGATATGAATTTAAGTAAAACAACATATGGCAGGTCCCCCAATATCATTTTTTTCCTTCATCATTGTTTTTTTATAACATTGATGAGAAAGAAAAAAATACATCGTTTCACTTAAAATTCCATTTTCCAAGAACCTATTGATGACTTTAAGTGAGGACTTACTGTATACTGTATATTCTTTGGATTTACTTTTTAAAAACAAAACCAGGATCTTGTTCTTTTGCTCATCCTGGAGTGCAGGTGTGTGATCTTAGCTTACTATAGCCTTGAACTCATGTACTCAAGTTATCCTTTGGCCTTAGCCTCCTGGGTAGCTGGGACTATAGACACATGTTACAATGTCTGGCTAATTTTAAAATTTTTTTGATAAGAGATAGAGTCTCTCACTATGTTGCTCAGGTTGGTCTTGAACCCTCAAGCAATCCTCTCTCTTTGGTCTCCCAAAGTGCTGGGATTACAGGGTATGAGCCACTGCACCTGGCTAGGTAATTCTTTTTTTTTTTTTTTGAGATAGTCTCACCTTGTCACCGTTGGTAGAGTGCTATGGCATCACAGCTCACAGCAACCTCCAACTCCTGGGCTTGGGTGATTCTCTTGTCTCAGCCTCCCAAGTAGCTAGGACCACAGATGCCCACCACAATGCCTGGCTATTTTTTGTTGCAGTTTGGCCAGGGCTGGGTTTGAACCCTCCACCCTCGGTATATGGGGCCAACACCCTACTCACTGAGCCACAGGCACCACCCTCTTTTTTTTGTTTTTTTCCTAGATAATTCAGTTTCTTTTGTGGCTCCTCTTATTCATTCTCCTTAGTAGATGTAAGTTGACCCTCCAGGGACTGTAACAAACTGGTCAACATACGGAGGTGGTCAACATAAGGAACAAGGCCTACTGTACTGATACATACATGTAGTGCATGTCTGGTCTGTGAAAATTAGGTCAACTTCAGAAGGTGGTCAGTGTAGGGAGGTGGTCCACTACAAAGGTTCTACTGTACCTTTCAGTATTTAAGAATATTTTTCCTGGCTTGGCGCCTGTAGCTCAGTGGCTAGGGAGCCAGCCACATACACTGGAGCTGGTGGGTTCAAATGCAGCCGGGCCTGCCTAACAACAATGACAACTACAACAAAAAAATAGTCGGGCGTTGTGGTGGGCGCCTGTAGTCCCAGGTACTTGGGAGGCTGAGACAAGAGAATAGCTTAAGCCCAAGAGTTTGAGGTTGCTGTGAGTTGTGACGCTACGGCACTCTACCAAGGGCGACAAAGTAAGACTCTGTCTCAAAAAAAAAAAAAAAAATTTTTTTTTTCTTTAAGAAGATGAATATTATTTTATTCCTTTGGAGCAGTTATGAAATCATCAAATTTCTGATGGTTAGTCATTGTATAGAGAAATAGAATGGCTGTTGGACATTTTTTCCTAAAATGACTCAGAAGATTTTATAAAATGATTTTTTCAATGAGTATTATTCAATCATCCACTGGCTGGAATAGGTTCCAGAAGTCACTCCGTCCATTTTAGAGGTATATCAGAAATATTCATATTCTCTTCTCCTTTGGTATGTTAGGGGGAGGAGTGGAAAGAAATAACTTGGGTCATTTAACCACAGACACATGAAAATATTTTTTTCTCCTCTTCCTTCCTTAACTCATTCAACAGATACTTACTGAGTTTAAACTATGTGATAGGTACTATGCTAGGCAATAAGGCACTGAGAATATGAGGATGAACAAAACAATCTGCCCTCAAGGGGCTTAAAGTTTACATGACTTTCACAACAGGTATAAGTGTACAGAAACAGATATCCAATCTGAAATAATTTCTTACCAGAGATTTGGATCTCCAAAATAACGTGTATTTGGATAGTTCAAAGAACTGGTGGCCAAGCATGGTGGAGTGGTCTTCTTGAGTCTCACTTGAACTGAGGAAGGACTGCTTGAGCCCAGGAGCTTGAGTCCAGCCTAGGCAATGTAGTAAGACCTTGACTCTTAATAAAAAGAACGGAGTAAGAAAAAGAACTGGTAGGTTTTCTATATGACAGAGATTTATCAGATTTTTTTTTCCTACAGAGGAATTCTCTGATATATGAAAAAAAGTTATACTGCTACTATTTTTAATAGCTGTATTTTCCCTTTTATATATAATATTGCAGAAGAACCTTAGGAAATGTTTCACATCCTTAAGTCCTCATTACTTTCATATCCTATACTGTGTTTTTCTCCTCAGAGACTCTCCTCTGATTTTTATTTTTAATTCTTAATAACTTATTCTAAATGAATCTCTTCTTTCCTTCCTAGCAATGTATTGTTCGAACAGTTGAAAGGATAGCAGGGGATCCCTAGGTCTCACTAGTGGAAATGCTGACATACAACATGCACTCTGGAAGGAGATAAATGACAACACTACTAATCCTGTGGGCTGAATCTTTGTTCAAGTGTAGTCATTGGATTAGGTGATTAGTGTTTGTTGTATGATCTTGGAACATTTCAGAACTCTCCTAAACTATTGCCTATTCCTTTTTATTATACAAGGTATATTGTGAGGACTCAATGATTATTTGAGGAGTTTTTTGTGTGTGTGTATGTGTGTGTGTATATATATATATACATGTACACACAGGGCACTGTATAGCAAGCACTTAAACATATTTAATTAAAATGTAGAGAAAGAGCAACAATGTCTATTAGACTCAAATAGTTTAGTAGGATTCAGGTATATGACAAAATCCAAGTTATATTATTTCATTTAAAATGAGTGGTTTCTACTGTATTACATCTAGGAAGAACATGTTCTTTTACAACTTGAAGAAGGGATTGACGCTTTGGAAGCTGCCATTGAATACAAGAATGAAAGTATCCAGAGTCGCCAGAACGCAATTAGAACATCATTCCAAAACCTCTCTCACAGTGAAGCAAATATCCTGGAAAAGCTAACTTGCCTGAGTCCTGTTGAGATTAGAGCTCTTCTGTTCAGATATTTTAATAAGGTTTGTTCTTGAGGGACAGAATATTTTTCTTATAAAGGGGAGTCAAGATGCTTATGTATCCATGTTTACTTTGCATTTTGAAAGAAATTGAAAAGCTCAAAGATTTGATGGTGCAGCTACAAATTTAAGCATGATTTCTACCTTTATAGTACTGAATGTTGTCATCTGAAAGCTTTGTGATTATCCAAATAGACAACTCTAACTTTGTGAGCTTCTTAATATTCTAGGGCCTTTCAATAAAAAGCCTTTTTGAAATAGTTTTAAAAACTAAAAAATTTAAGTTATAGTCCTTGCTCATTATTTCTCAGATGTTTTTTAGATTTGGATATTTCTACGTAACATTCTTTAAAAATCAAGGCCCTTCAGGTTGGATTCCCCTTCCTTCAGTGCTGTAGGGGAATGGAACCTGTACTTTCTCACTGTGTGAGTTGAAATGGAGTTGAAGCGGTGTATCAGTGATAAAGATACTAATGGGTTTTATTAAGTTGCATGTGCTTGAATCAGTTAAAATATTTGTTTTTATACAAATTTGACCATTTATTGATCCAGAGATGTTTCTTAACATCAAGAACTATATCTTTTCTCTAACGTCTTTTCCCACTTAAGAATTATGAAGTATTAGACAACTAGGTAACTCTTTTCTCTGAAAAGTGTATTCAATTTGTGGGAATAAACAATGAAGGAAAAATAAATACTGAAATTTTAAAATAAAGTTCTAATTCTGTGAAATAAAGATGAAAAATGAAATGAAAACATTTCATTATATATGCAGTTTCCTCTTAGATAATCGCTGTCAGTAGTAAGCTACTATTATTGATGAGAGTACATCCTATCACTTTGTGTTTGGAGGGCAGAAAAATACAGTATTTTCCTAAGCTCTGATTTAGGTAACGCTTTTATGGTGGTCTTAGACAAGAATTCTTAACCCAAGGCACCTCTGCCAAGGTCAGTGGATTTTCTGATCCTGGGAACCCTTTGTATTAATGAGTATGCTTCTGGAGAGAAAGTTATTAGATCATTAATAAGTTGTGTGACACAGAAACTGTCTGATGTATTTTTACTTCATATAAGCAGAGAAGAACCTGGGAGACAAAATGTGTCCCCTGGAAGTGAACTCTATACTTACAGTTTAAAAAATTCTGTCACTTACCCATTTTGAAGTAAAAACTGAGAAATATCTTATCTAGATTGTTATACAACAGTCTTTAGCATCTCGGTATCCACTTAGTTTAGAGAAAAAGAGTTAGAGAATTTTAAAATGTAAACTTCAGAGATCATATTTAAGAAATTATGGAAGGGTGATTATTGGAACATTATATTAAAAATAAAAGTGTTGGCTCAGCACCTGTAGCTCAGTGGCTAGGGAGCTGGCCACATACACCGGAGCTGGTGGGTTGAACCGGCCTGGGCCTGCTAACCAACAATGACAATCGCAACAACAACAAAAAAATAGCTGGGTGTTGTGGCAGGTGCCTGTAGTCCCTGCTAATTGGGAGGCTGAGGCAAGAGAATCGCTTAAGCCCAAGAGTTTGAGGTTCCTGTGAGCTGTGACACCATGGCATTTTACCAAGGGTGACACATTGAGACTCTGTCTCAAAAAAAAAAAAAAAAAGTTACTAATTCAGAATCCCCCCAAATTTAAAAGGCTGCTAGGTTATTTGTGGATGTTTTACCAAGCTTTTACCTAAGTTCCCAGTACCTTGGCAAGATAAGAATCCCTTGTATTATGGAGGTTGATCAAGTTCATCTTTATGTAGCCTAAGAGAAGTAGATAAAGCTATCATATTAGGCTGTCTCAGACATACTTAAAAGGTCAAAAATGTATTTTCTAGGTGGTTAATTTGCGAGAAGCTGACCGGAAACAACAGTTACATAATGAAGAAATGAAAATGAAGGTTCTGGAACGGGATAATATGGTTCATGAGTTGGAATCTGCACTGGACCATGTGAAATTGCAGTGTGACCGGAGACTAACCCTCCAGCAAAAGGAACATGAGCAAAAGATGCAGTTGCTGTTGCATCACTTCAAAGGTAACTGACCCTCTTTGTCAGTTACGAAAAGGTGAAGTATAGGTGAGGAAGGAAGATATGACGGAATTTGGTCACTTAAAATCCCAACATGTTTAAATAGTTACTATTGATACACGTTTGGGGGCTTTGCATGTTTGGGTTACCACATTTTGGAACAGTTGACTTTGTTGTAGGCCAGGCTATTCATGCGTGAAATGTCATCCCTTCTGCCTGCCTCCAGCACACTCATAAGAACTGCCACAACACTGTTAGTTTTTTATCAGTCTGGTTTTTATATAGAAATGTGGGATTACTTCTGGCTTTTTGAAAAATTTTTCTATTTCTAAGAGATATAATGCTATGACATTTAAGTTATTTTTCATTCACAAAAATAAAGTGATAGGCTCTGTCATATTCCTAGTTCTATTTCTTCCTATAATTGTCAGTTGAGAAGGTTATATTTTAGGTCAAAATTAGTCTATAATTAATGGACACCTACCGTTATCAGCAAGCAATAGTTGAACCATCAACTCCCATGTAGAGCAATTGGGCCAGTGTTACCTGGGCATATGGCCTTATACAAATAGCTGATATGGGAACTAAATCACTGCCTGGTGATACTGTTCCTGTTGGAATCCAGGTTGCTTTAGTCTTGATTCTCATGAATCCATAGCTGAAAATGTGTCAAAAGGGTCTGGAAGAAGAAACCAAGTAGAAAATTGGAAAATATATGAATTTGAGTGCTGAGGCAATTGTCTCTAAGTTAGTTCTGTAACCAACTGACTGCCTAATGATAGGATTTCCTTGATATCATATTGCAATTAAACATGCTCTTCTTACCTCAGTTCTGTCTCAAGTCTCTAAACATGACATTTTAATAGTATTTTCATGTTTTTTAAAAGTAACTGGAATTATACCACAAAAGCTCATACTATAGCCAAATCAAAACATTTTTAAAAAAAAAAATCACTGATTTCTTTAAAGAAAATCACTGATTTCTTTAAAGCTGTACAAGTTTTTTTTTTTTTTTTTTTTGAAACAGAGCCTTAAGCTGTCACCCTGGGTAGAATGCTGTGGCATCACAGCTCACAGCAACCTCAAATTCCTGGGTTTAAGCGATTCTCTTGCCTCAGCCTCCCAGCCACAATGCCTGGTTATTTTTTGGTTGTAATTGTCATAGTTGACTTGGCAGGCCTGGGCTGGATTCCAACCTGCCAGCTCTGGTGTATGTCGCTGGAGCCTTAGCCTCTTGAGCTACAGGCACTGAGCCTGTACAAGTTTTCATCACAAAGTTGTAACTAAAATGGTAAAAACTTATGAATTTCAGCACAATATGAGACATAAAATTAAATTATATGTTAATTAATTTATGTATTTTATGGGAATTCTTACTTATAGCATTAACTTAAAAACAAGATGAGGGTAATTTAAAATAGACAGATATATTTAAATGAAATTACAAAACAGCCAATTATAACAAAAGAAAATTACAAACCAGTAGGAACATTTTAGAAATAAGCCACCATGAGAAAATAGGCCTGAAAGTATATTTTCTGAAGGAACAGTAACACTGTATTTTACTGATTCTAGAGCATAACCCAATGTGGATAGTGTTAGGCACTCTTAACTATTAATTAGAAGCTTAAGTTGTTGTGGTATAAACTAGAACTTATAATGGCTGTTTTCCCACTTCTTTGTCTGTGATGTTTTCCTTGCAATTTAGTATTTATAGCCTTTTAAAACAGGTTTTTGTTTTTGTGGGGTCTTTTGCTATATATTTCTTGGACCTATAAGCCCCAGGCTTTTGACTTCTCATATAACCATAGTTCCTGACATAAACCTTAAATAAAACACAAATGCAGCTGATGGATAGAGTTCCAAATATGTGAAATTTTTGTAGAAAACACATTTTGCTATATTAAGGATAAGTAGTCTAGTTGGTAGCTATTATAGAAAAAAGAAAATGCTTATGAAGGCTGGATGTGGAGGCTTATATCTGTAATCCTAGCACAGCACTTTCGGAGGCTGAGGTTAGAGGACTACATGAGTTTGAGACCAGCCTAAGCAACATAGTGAGACCCCTCTCTCCAAAAACTTTTTTAAAAATTAGCCAGGCATTGTGGTATGCACTTAATAGGCCCAGCTATAGGATCTCTTGAGCCCAGGAGATTGAGGTTGCAGTGAGCTATGATGATGCCACTGCATTTTAGCTCAGGCAACCAAGAACCCTGTCTCAAAAAAAGAAAAAAAAAAAAAGGAATGCTTATGAATCATAAAACTGTGGTGATTAAAGTTAAGGTGGAGAAGGTAACTAAGGGTTCAGTCTTTGAAAAATTTTATAGGCAGAAGAATCCAAATTATAGCTGAAAACAAATCCATTTAGGTGATCAATATATGTAACATATTTCTGATCTTTTTAATACATTCTGGGGATTATGTTAAAACACAGTTTGAATCATTTATTTAAAACTGATTTTAAATAGTAAACTTCTGTTTTATAGAGCAAGATGGAGAAGGCATTGTGGAAACTTTAAAAACATATGAATATAAAATCCAGCAGTTGGAAAAAGATCTTTATTTCTATAAGAAAACCAGCAGACATCTTAAGAAGAAACTCAAGGAACTTGTAGGGGAAGCAGTTCGGAAGCAACTAGCACCATCAGAACGTAAGATTTTTTAGTGTTATTTGCTATTTCTCTAGCATTTAGTAAAGTCATGACAGATGTGTATAGAGGTATTTAGAATGAAACATTCAACTCCTGTTTGTCTCTGTGGAGTTGTCTAAGACAGAACCATATGATAAGTGAACAAATGAATGAGCAAATTTATACATGTGAAGGAAACAATCAGTTATTGATTACTGGCCACATGCCAGGGGCTTTTTATAGTCCTTAGTCATTTAATTCTTAACCTGATAATCTAAGATAGCTGTTGTTTTCCTATTTCATATTAAATTAAGCCTTCGATTATTACAAAAGAGATATGTATTAAATAATAATAAAAATAACAGTAAAAGTATACATTTGTGATCGTTAAACCTGGGAGTTTGAGGCTGTAGTGAGCTATGATGAGAACACTGCACTCCAGCCTGGGTGACAGAGCGAGACTCTATTTCAAAATAAATAAACAAGTGGAAGAGTGAATAAAAATTAAAATAGTATACAGTCATTATAGAACATTCTGAAGATGCAGGAAATGTCACGCATATTCCTACCCACATTACAGGATAATTCTTTTCATATTTTCCCCATGCTTTAAAAAAATAAAATTAAAGTCATGTTGGGGATGTAGTTTATGCTATATTCTACTTTACAATACTACATATACCATATTCTTAAGTTCTATAAAGTATCTTATATGCTTAATAATCAATACCTTAGTTAATATATAATTGTCTTCATCTTCAATTCTCTGAGTTTTGATAATAGCCTTTTCATTGTCTGCCCACCATATTTTAAATATATTTTTGGTATTTTCAAATAGCAGAAAAATTAAACATTTGACTAAAATGTCTTAGTCCACATGGTGGACACACCTCTATTATAGTGTATATATCTGTTTTCTAACATTTTTATGAATATGCAGTCTCTCCACTTTTATTTAAAACTATCCTAACAATTTAAATTATTGTAAAACTATATGTATGAAGATCTGGGTTAGAATCCCAACTTCTTTTACTCATATGATCATGAGCAAATTAATCTGTCCCTAGATTTTTCCTTTAATTATAAAATTCTGGAAGAGGGGAAACTTCCTATTGTGAAGAATCCAAGGGGTTCATTGTGATAATGAACCCATCTCTGCTTTTTCACACATTATATTTACAAAATAGAGGCCTTGCTCACTGCCCCAGACACTGTGACCTGGGATATAGGATTTTTTTTTCTTTCATGTCAGATGGGTAAATGTGCTGACTTTGTTTTTGTTTTTTTTAAGAGTCTCACTGTCACCCTCATTAGAGTGCTGTGCCATCACAGCTCACAGCAACCTCAAACTCTTGGGCTTAAATGATTCTCTTGCCTCAGCCTCCCAAGTAGCTGGGACTGCAGGTGCCTGCCACAACACCTGCCTGCTTTTCTGTTGCAGTTGTCATTGCTTACCTGGCCAGGGCTAGGTTCGAACCCACTAGCCTCGGTATGCGTGGTTGGCACCTTAACCACCATGCTACAGGCGCTGAGCCGCTCAGGATTTTTTTTTTTTTTTGAGATGGAGCCTCAAGCTATCCCCCTGGGTAGAGTGCCATGGCATCACGCTCACAGAAACCTCCAACTCCTGGGCTCAAGCGAGTCTCCTGCCTCAGCCTCCCAAGTAGCTGGGAGTCTCGGCAGTTGCTGGGACCACAGGCCATTTTTTGGTTGCAGCCATCATTGTTGTTTGGCGGGCCTGGGCTGGGGATTCGAACCCGCCACCTTAGGTGTATGTGGCTGGCGCCTTAGCTGCTTGAGCCACAGGCGCCGAGCCGTCGCTCAGGATTTTTAAAAGCTTCCCAATGACTCTAATGTACAAAAAAATTTGGGAGCCCCTGCCTGTAGTCAGCTTAGTATCTGCTTTAGTTCCACATAAGGATTTGTCATTTGCTAGTTTAGGTTGTTTCTTTTGACAGAATTTTAAAAACTAGAAAGTCAGTTATGTTTTAAACCAAGGGTTACAAATTAGAATGCCTGAAGGAACTGAGGAAGCCAAAGGGTGTGATGTAGACATTCATCTAAACTGGCAGTGGCAACCTTACTTCAGTTGCGGTAGCTATTAAGAAATCATTAGCTTTTCTAACCTCTCTAGAAAAGCTGGAAATCTGTATTTTTATATGAAACTTCCCAATTTTTAAATTTTGAGTGAAGAATTAAGAGCATTACAAGCTGAGTAAAACATGTCTGTGAGATAGATTTGGCTTGGGATTTGCTAATGTGCATCCTCTGCTTTTAAACTTTGCTTTTGCAATGAAAAGTATGTTAATCATGTATCAACATATGTTAAGGATGACATTTTTCATCATATTCGGTTTAGTACCTATACCGTAAGCAAGTTTTTGTGTTCGATTTTGGATATTTGAGTTGAAGGGATATTCTGTCATGTTCATTCTGTTGGTGGAGGTTGTGGCACAAACGCCAGAGGATATTCAGACAGCAGAACCCTCCTATCACGCTAGGAGTGCCAACCAGAACCAGATTTCACACATATAATGCCAAGTCCCAGAGGTTTCCCTGGAGCTACGGGGGAGAGCTAATATTATCCAGTGCTGCTTCACTTGACCTGGATTTGGAATTCACTAGTGGCAAGCTCAAGAAAGGGCAGGCATGGAAAGGCAACAGAGAGGCCCAAAGCACTCCTGTGTTTCTAGGGAGCATCAAAATCACTAGAAGACTATTTCTCAACTTTGTTCCATAAATTAAAGTTCTGAATTAGCAAGATAGCTATAAGAAAATTAGAATTATTCATATTCATATATCTGTTCATCTGAAAGAATTTAATAAAAATTTGGAAAACATGTATATATATATCAAATGATAATAACGTAGCTATGTTAGGTATTAGAATTGAAATGCCTGGAAATAATTTCTAATATCTTGGTTTGGGAATTATTTTTAGATCATGATGCTAGAAGTGGAGTCCTAAACCCAGAAGAAGCAGGCATGCTTTCAGAAGACTTAAAATGGGCATCCAGAACTGAAAGTCTGAAATTAATTGGAAAAGAAATAGAAATGGACAGTTCGGCAAGCAGTTTAAGAACACAACCAAATCATCAGAAGCTTGGGGAAGAAGTCACAGAATTGCCTCCCATTTATAGCTCTTTAGCACCCCCCAGTGGGCATTTGTTAAGCAATGAAGATAAAACAGAAACAGATGAAAATCGGTTTACAAAATCTTACTGTGGACCATCATCCCAAATTCAACCTGTGGAAAATGTGGGACAACTTCATGGTGTTACACCTGTAAAATTGTGTCGTAAAGAATTACGTCAAATTTCTGCCTTGGAGGTATCATTACGACGTTCCAGTCTTGGAGTTGGGGTTGGATCAATGACTGCTGACTCCATTGAAGTATCTAGGAAACCAAGTGACTTAAAAACTTAAACATTTAACAACAGAGGTTTTAATTTAGTAGATATGTAAAAAGATTCCTTTTTCTAATCCTTTTTAACTTTCGATTAAAGTTGAAACTCACTATCTCTTCCCTCAGGATAAAGAAGGGGAGGAAGGATTCTCCAATCCTTTTATATACTAGAGTTGTATATATCTTCCATAGTATATTTGGGGAGTTTTAATTTATATTTATATAATCAAACAAACATGTTTTCTAATATTTGATATTTCCACTTATAAATACGCTTAAAATTTTTCCCAAGCATAACTGAAGAACAAAACTAACAGACTAAAATATCCATCAAGTGTATATTATTATATAATGTAAAAGTATATTATAAGTATATTGCTGTTCTTAAATACAACTATACTGTTATTTTAAAAATATCCAGCTAAACATTGCTTGGGTCAGAGGGAGTGTCATCTGTTGCATATGTTTTGGCACAGCTGAATTGTGCCAAAATGCAGTCTGTGGGCTAAGACAACCCGTCACGTTTATGGATTGAGGTTAATTTACAGACCTCAGATCCCACAGAAGTTGGGTAGTGAGTCTTGACTTTTTAAGACTGCTCTGCTCTGTTTTTGGAATTGTTTTTTACTTATAATGTTATGTTATTGGTTTGTTAATACCACAGAATATAAGTTTTCATCTCTCTGCCCTGTGCATGCACTGTTATCTCTCATTATGCTACTAAAATTGGAAGAATGGATGCAATTCCATGGAACAGGGAAGCAAGAGAATAACACTAATGCATTGTAACATTTCAAGGAAAAGAATTCTGGTTCTTTTCAGGATACTGTGACATATCTGGTCACATGGAGTATATCTATAAAGTCTGAAGTCTGGCCAAAGGGTCTTTAGCTAATAATCTGATGGCTCTTAAGTCTGAGATTTTTTTTTTCTACAAGCTGCTTAGTCAGATTTTGCAAACAGGCAAGCCAAACTGCACTGGGTCTATAAATATATAAATGAAATTTTTGCTAAAATTTTTTTTTTGGTAGAAATCTTATTGTCTGATATACAATTTAGTTAGTAATTAAGAACCAAATAGTCTTCCCACCAAATAATAGTTTGTGCTTTTTCACAATATTTTTTAATCATAGGAAAACACCCCATCATAGTGCCCTGGGGTATTATTTTGTTACTTATATTGTTATTTGTGTCACTTTTCTAAACTTTCACTGGTAAATGAAAGTTGAGTTTCTTAAACTAAGTAATGTTTAGGTGAGGGCAGTAGCAAAATCACCCTGACTTATCGATGCACCCACTTCCTTGCTGAATTTGTTTTCCCTGCCTGATGCTGCCAGAGACCTTTTTCTTTTGTCCTTTCCTCTGTTGCTGTTGACCTTGACTGTCTCACCTAAGACCCAAAATATCATCCTTGCTCAAAGACATAAGGCTTCTCTTTTTCTAGTTACTAGCTCTTAGTCTTATTGGTAAAAACCAGGTCCTATAGGAAAAGAAAATAAAAACAAACTTCTAAATAGGTAAACAGGTTTTTCTTTAATCTCTTATGCATGGTACTAAAGTTCATTTAAATTATGGGTTAAATAGATTTCTGTGGACTTATCTGGGAATGGAATAATTTATAACCTCAGCCCAATAAGACATTTTAAGTTTCAAACTACTAGTTTTTAAAATAAATTGGAAATTCTATTTTTACCAGGACTATTTGAAGTCAGATTCTGGTTTTCAGCTAGCTTTCCTTTTTCTTTTTGCCTTTAGTTTATATGGCATGCATATATGGATATACAGATATATATATCCATATATGCAAAAGGCCAGTGCCTCTAACAAAAGACAGCACTTACATACTTATTAACAAATATATATTAAGATCCTAACTGTAAATTTCTTATAAGATTAAGTAACACGCTATGCCTTAATTAGAAATAATTCATGTAGGAATGTATTCTGATACTGGAATCCTGCTTGTCTAAGAAATTAACAGATACTTGTTTTACGTATGGAAATATAAACACATTACTTCCCAAAAGCCAACTCACTAAAAAAGCAAGAAAATTTATATCAGACCAACTATGATTAGGTTTGATAATTCAAATGTAAGTTGATTTCTAAATAAGAAAGATATTTTTTTTCCTTTTAGTTAAACATAGAGATCCTTTATATGCTATGCTATATTTTGTGCACATATGCAAACTCATATGTAAATAATGTCTTGAATAATATATTCTGGAAGTGGATCTCTGATCACTCTTGTCAGTTGTCAGTGCTCTCACAAGGGAAAGATAAAAATGAGGCACATTCCTAAGGCAAGTAAAATTAGTCTTTTACATATATAATAGATTTTACTCTTTTTCATATGCTTTCCTTAGTCTAAACATTCTGTCATTGTGTTTGCCTTTTTTGCATGTATATAAAATGTCGTGGTTTTCTTTTTTGTTCTTTCTTTTTCTCTACCTATAACAGAACATTCAAAAGGAAAAATATTTGCCTTGAAGTACTAGTTCCTTTCCTAACTCCACAGTAGTATAGATAACAGAGATGGAAAATTCTATAGTTATGGGAACCATAGATGTGAGAACATTGATGAAGGTGGTTTTGTGCTTTATGCTTGTTTTCTTTTGTTCATGTAATTTTTTGGTCCCTCAATTCTCCTTATCTTCATAAACTCAGAGTCCAAGGATGTGTGTGGATTATATTTCCACTAGCCATTTGCCTTGTTTATAAAGTGATGAATGCTTATTTGAGAATAGCATTATTCTCAAATGCCTTATATGGAAAAAAAGTTTTATACTAAATTTTAAAATGAATTTAATAGTAGGAATTCAATTCTGTGGTCAACACAGATTCTCATCCATTAAATACAAGTATGACATGTTTTGATCTTTCAGTTATTTAGGTACGTACTTATGACTTTAAAACAGAGGTGTACGAATATCTGAAAGTACAAGTAGAAAGTCACTCATGTCTGCATATTCACGTATTTTACATTTGTACTGTTAGAACTGGTTGTAGGCTGCATCCTTTAGTCCTGATAACATATTCTTCTTTTACATTTATATTTTCAAAAATTGAAAATAGAAGTGAGAATGAGATCCTTTGGCAAAAAACATTTCAAGTGCACTGTGTATGTATGTAGTATTTTTGAGCATATATGGGCAGTGGTATATCATGGGTAAAGTAGTGAGACCCTCTGCCCAATAAGGAGGAATATTTTTATCACTGTCATTGCTGCTCATAAAAGCAGACTTACTTTTCATAGCCTTTACTGCTTTTAAATTTTCTACAAAGAACATAGTCTTTATTGCCTACACCAGAGGTTGACTGCTCCCATTCCTTGCTCTTACAATATATTACATACAAGGCACCAGATAACTGGATTGGTGTTTGATTTTTATGGTGGGCTTCATATTGACCCCAACATGACTCCAACATGGACATGAGAACAATTAGAATATGGGAAAATTATAAAAAGAAATCTCGAAAAAATTGATGTTACAATGTTGTCTTTTGACATTTGCCACAGTTCCCATTTGTCCATTTTTATATTTTTGTCTTCCAGGAATTTCTACAGTGAGTCAGCAGAATGGCTATATTTGAAATGCTAGCAGTATAATTTGATTGAACCCAAATATATTGAATTAGACTTAAGTATTATCTTCTACTGGTTAATTATAGCCCACAGTTTTATATAGTACTAGAAGAGAAAAATACAACAATCTTATACATTGTTTTAATAATAAGCAAGATCCTGGCATGCCCAAGGAACAAAACATTCACAACAGAAAAAGAGTAGAAAATTATTTAATTTTTTAAAAAACTTATGATTCTTGGAAATATAAAGCTCCATTTATTAGTTAATAATTGTATAAAGTAGAACAAAAGGAATTATTTGTAAATTATATTTACACGCTGTATTATTGTGTTTTCAAGCATATAGTATATATAAAACAAGGTATAATTTTTCAAACCCATAGTGGTAAATATTGGTAGAATTTATTTTTTCTGATATGAGGTGTCTTATTTTTAAAAGAATCACTTCTTGGACCTTGACTCCCAATTACCATCAACAAACTAATAGGCATGTGCTTTCTTACCCTTCACTCTTCACAATGATCCAGTGTAATAGCTCTGAGAAGACAGATGACTGAGGCGGGGGGTGGGGGGCAGCAGAGAAAGAGGTTTATTTGCAAGCATTCCAGGCCAGCAAAGAATTGCAGAAGTATTTTGAGAGAATATATTTTATTTCTCTACCAAAAAGACTGGAACTTAATTTCAATCTTGGGATATGTCTAAACCCTAAAGAACACTCCTAGTTTGTACTGACTCTGTCATTTGAGAACAAACATCTTAGTTTTTATACTGGTTCCTTTTCCTATGATTGCTTTCCATTCAGGATTATATGAAAAGAAGCTATCCTAGATAGAATTCAAACAGAAATTGTGAAGCCATCCAATAGAGAATGACAAGAAACAGTAGTTTTAGCTAAATTCCCACAATTTAATATAAACTGGAGGAAGAAGTTAGGATGTAAGTGATTCTTACTACTCAAGAACCGTGAAAGCTGCCAAAGCATAAACAGTTGATTGTAGGCAAAAGTGACAGGATTTAGCTTTATAAAAGAATACTATCCCCTCATCTTGCTTGATTTTTCTCTGTGCTATAATATCCTTCAATAAATATCTCTGAAAAACTTGCAGTTAAAAGACTTCCATTCATGACAAACCGGCAACCACTGGGCTATCTTGAGAGGCTGAATTAATATTACTCATTTTTTAAAGACACTTTATTATTGTTATTTTTTATTTTTTTATTTTTATTTTTTGCAGTTTTTGGCGGGGGCAGGGTTTAAACACGCCACCTCAGGCATATGGGGCTGGTGCCCTACTACTCTTTTGAGCCACAGGTGCCGCCAATATTACTCATTTTTGCTTATGTCCTGCAGTTGCATTTCACTGTCCTACCCTGTCAGAGAAAAGGAGTAAGGAGTTATCTGAATTCAACTTACTCATATTTTTGATAATTTATAAGTATTAGAATTGTCAAAGTTTTGTTGTTGTCACTTTCTGAGTGT